TACACATTAGAAATGAGTTATCATGTGTGCTTATGAGAGAGGAGATAGATGTGAGAGAGAGAGAGAGAGAGAGAGAGAGAGAGAGAGAGAGAGAGAGAGAGAGAGAGAGAGAGGAGGGGGGTAGTGAATTCGGGTTCATGGACGGAGCGAGAGACACGCGCGCTCTCTCGTGCTCGCTCGCTCCGGCAGTAAAACTGCTCATTACGTGAGAGGGTTATATCTCCGCCGAGACGGGAGACGGCTGGCAGCTGTCGCCATCGTTCAACGAAACAACCTTGCTACGTGATTCACGGCCTCGTGTCTCCGCCGCCGGTCGTGCACGTGTGCCGTGTGATACCGAACCCGCGCGGCCAGTCTGGGCTGAGAGAGTGGTGAGAGGTCGGGCGCAGAGGCTGGTGGTGTGCTGCTTGCTACGCATGGTGCCGGTGGTGGTGGTGGTGCGCGTGCTGGGGTGAATGTATGGTTGTATGTGCACGTGTGTGTGGGGGCGAGAAAGAGAGAGAGAGAGAGAGAGAGAGAGAGAGAGAGAGAGAGAGAGAGAGCGACCGAGAGAGAGAGACTGAGTAAGGCGCACCTGAGGCGTTTACGGTTCGTTGGTTGGGGCGGGCGCGGTGTGTGATGCGGGGCACCCGGTAGGCTGTTGTCATCAGAGGTCACCTGGCCGTAATATACGGTGACGAGTAGACCTGCGCGTAGCCGACGAACTGTGTACATACCTCTAGACGCGTGCATGTACGGTGAAGGTTTCCATATGAACGCCGATACACATGCGTACTGGGCGAACACTAGATACGATAATGTAGCCATGTAAGAATGTTCATCAGTGTTCCCTGTTTGAACAGTTTATCAGTGTTCCCTGTATGAACAGTTCATCCGTATTCCCTGTATGAACAGTTCATCAGTGTTCCCTGTATGAACAGTTAATCAGTGGTCCCTGTTTGAACAGTAGTTCATCAGTGTTCCCTGTATGAACAGTTCATCAGGGATCCCTGTTTGAACAGTAGTTCATCAGTGTTCCCTGTTTGAACAGTTCGTTGGTGTTTCCTGTGACCAGTTTAACAATGTTCTATGTACGAACAGTTTAACCATGTTTCTTGTACGAACAGTGCATTGATATCCACACACTGCTACGTTATCCTATCTAGACGAACGCTAGATTCGCACCACTATCTATGCTCGGAACGTAGTTGAAAGTTAGTTTGAAAACATTATTAGTAAGTTGACAGGAATTAGACGAACGCATGGGTTTGGTTTGTGTGTATGGTTGTTGAGAGTGGCCACACTACATACGTAATCCTGGTCCAGGTAAAGCGAAGTAACGGTATAGGTTTGCGGTCAGCTCGTTGTGTTCCTTTGCTTCCACCCGCGTGTGATTCATTACCTAAGACTTAAACACAGTAGTTAAGATAGCTTTCTACCCCGAATGGAAATCCGCTGGTAAATACACTAAGTAGTTCGAAAGTTCTCTGTTTTTACAGTGTTTTAGCTAGGCTTCAGCTTGTATTATAATCTGTAGTTTTCTATGCAAAGCCTTAGCCAGTGTATGCGTGTCAAATTTATAATAGCTTTTGTAAGATGTACTGTAAGAGTTAATTATCGATTATGAAAAGTTTTTGTATTCTTTAGAGCAGGATTTGTAAGAATGTCATAATGTTGGCTTCTGGGGTTCCCTACATATCTGAGCTGCCGCTTCTGTGAACGCGAGGCGGAAAGGAGCGCTGATGTCAAGGGTACCGGTTAGGTTCCATCGGACGAAAGTTTGTGGAGTCGGTTGTTTTTTGTTTTTAATATTATATTTTGTTACATTACATGTAATGTTATATTTTCAGTCTTGATCGAAAATGTGCGTCAAAATTGTGCATTTATGCGGATTTGTTAATAGTTTTTACCTAATTGTTGAATGCGTTTTAAATTCAACATTTTGAGATTTCCTAATCAGGTGTCCTGTATTACATGAGAGCGTGGCGTGAGATGTTAATGGTTGCATCGATGCGCCACCTGTTGCGCATATAGAGAACCATTTGCGAATATTATGCTTCCAGTATAGCTAATATCATTAGCATTTTAGGCGGCGTATAATTAAATATGTAGCGTGCTCAATACACTCAAATAATCACAACGTACCCTTACACGTAAATACAGTTCGTATAAAATCCACAAGAAAAAAATGCAAAAAGGTATGTCTACTATCTTGTGTGTCGTAACGTGTATACGTGTTGTTTCTATCTTTCTCAAAGTGAGTCGGTGTATCCATGTCATTTGGGGGATGTGTTCAGTAGAAGGCCGCCACGGGGCTGTTAGAAACGCGCGTATTATGTCTGCGCTTGGAAAAATCACGTCAGAAAAGTTTAAATCATTCATTGGCTAGCATCAGTTGCTCATTTCGTGGCGTGTAAGCTCGTGGCGCCGATTGTTTGCACGAAGGTTTGATTCAGGGTTGTGTGCTGAAGGTTCGGGAAATATTTCATGAGCTATGTGTGACTGACTCTCATATGTCTAAATTGTTGTTATATACGAAACCTCTTCGTGATGAATGCTGAATGTTACTTTTCAAGGTGATGCTTGAATATTGTATTTTAGGTTAGGCAGTTGCCGGGCGCGAGCGTTATCAAAGTTTCTCTATAGTTTATCAGACAGCTTAGCTGGAGGTAGCTCCAGCAGTATAGCCATCATCGCTCTACGGTAGGCATAATGCAGGCAGGGCCATGGGGACTATACTGCTGGTATTAGTCGTAGGTAAATAATTCAATCAACGGGAGTAATTCAGTAAAGTGTCCAGAACCCCGCTCGTAATTTATTTGCCGGTTGTAATCTCAGTCAGTTTGATATCCAATCTAAAACAATCAAGAGGAACTGAGATTTTATTGGTTATATACAGTATTCGCAGTCCTGGCAGATACAAGGTGCTTAATTTCAGCTGTATTACAAAAAATATATAATGCATTTTTTGTTTCAGCTAGTTGGTTTGTTCGTCTATATTTCGACTTTATTTGGTCAGTTGTTCAATTGTTACACCTAACAAGCTGCTGTAAGGGGCTGGCTGACTTTCAGGCGGAAGGCAACAGCTAAACAGCTGGGCCGAATACTTTAAGGAGCTTCGCAACAGACCCGAGCCCGAAGAGCGACCAGAAATCATTCAGCGGCATTTATATTTACATTTACACGGATTTACTTGCACCAACTTTCACCATTTTCTATATGCATTTAATAGTCTGTATATATAGTGTTATCATCCAAAATTTAGGGGCAGCAGTCACCTTC